AGCTGTGTGACTTTGGGCCAGTCACTTCACCTCTCTGAGCCTCAGTGTTATCATTTATAAAGTAGGCATGACAACAGTCCCTACCTCCGGGCAGATAATAGGAGAAGAGTGGGGGTTCTTAGCACCATGCTTAGCACAAAATTTCTCTTTAAACATTAGCCGTTATTACAATTTAAAAGAAAAATGATGTAGTCCGTAGCAGCAGCCTCTTCCCCACTGTGTACAGCAGAGGCATGAGACCCCTGCCTCCTTCTCAAGGTCTCCATTTCTCCATCTACAACATGAAGGACTTGGACCTCTCCGTGGGCTCCAAAGTCCTCTGTTGTCCCCTGGGAGCTGCTGCCTCTTGCGCTGAGGCCGGTCAGCTCAAAAGTGAGGGTCAGAGAGAAAGAACAGCTGCTAGATTGATGGCCCCGAGGCCAGTGCTTGTTCACGGCTGGGCGTGCAGTACCCAGGAGCTCTCCTGAGCAGGGGTCCTGACTCTGACAGAGTATGTGGCCAGCCTGCAGTCCTGGCATCAGTGGCCAGTGATGAAAATCACTGCTGTTGCCCCGTATGCCTGCGCACGGTTGTTTCATGCCTGAACTACGCCTGCAAAGAAGGTACCAATCCTATTTTTCTTATGCTGAGACTAAAGCTGAGAGAGGCAGAAGCAGAGGTCACAGAGTTTGGTACAATAGCACTGCCTGAATTTTGACCAGATCTGTCTGACTTCAGGGTCTGTGGCTTACGTCCCTACAGAGGGGTAGAGGGAAGGAGGGCTAAGAACCTTATAGTATTCTCTCATTTAATCTTCACAATAAACTGCAAATTAGGCCCATTTTACAGAAGGAGAAATTGAGGCTTCAAAATACTAACTTGCCCCGTGCAGACAGCTGGCACTGGAGCCTCCTATAGCATGGGCCTGGCAGGTAAACAGCCACTGGTGTGCAGGCACCAGAGACCAACACCCACAGGCTGACACCTGTTCAGTCTGCACAAAGAAGCTTAGTATTTTTTATAAGCAGGGAAATAAAAACCAGGCCAATACTTGTGACATTTGCTCTGCTACCTGCTGTATTTAGTTTGTGCTTATGTGGAGGCATCTAAGCACAGTCAGGTTAGCGTTCTTCCTCGTGGTAGAGCATTATGATGTTGCTTTCTTTTCTTCCATTAGTTAAAAATTGTCTTGTTTTTTTCCCTTGGAGGAAGGGAATGAAACTTTTTTACTGATACATAGTAACTGGACATATTAATGGGGTGCATGTGATATTTTGATACATGCATATAATGTGTAATAATCCAATCAGGGTAATTAGGACAAACATCATTTCTTTGTGTTGGGAACATTTCAGATCTCTTCTAGCTATTCTGAAATTTACAATCAATTATTGTTAACCGTTGTCACCCTACTGTGCTATCGAACACTAGAACTTACTTCTTCTAATTGTATTTTTGTGCCCATTAACCAGTCTGTCTTTATCCCCTGAATAAAACTTTAAAAGTTTCCTCAAGATACTATACATTTAAAGCACCCCTGAGGTCTTGTTTCTTCCACTTCCCTTTTTCCCTCCTTGTATAACATGAAGAACATTGTATTAATCTGATTTTTAAGGATCTTTCTGTATGTTATGTGTTAAGGTATCCCACTGAAACGTTTCACATTGCAGACCAAAGTCTACTTATTTCAGGGGGATGGGACCATGGCATCCTTAGCCATTGTTACAGAATACGTGGAATAGTAATTTAAAACGTAAAGTTGTGGCCAGGCACAGTGGCTCACGCCTGTAATCCTAACACTCTGGGAGGCCGAGGTGGGAGGATCACTTGAGCTCAGGAGTTCGAGACCAGCCTGAGCACGTCTGAGAAAAAAAAATTGAAAAATTAGCCGGGCATGGTGGTTCACACCTGTGGTCCCAGCTACTCTGGAGGTTGAGGCAGGAGGATCGTTTGAGCCCAGGCGTTTGCAGTTGCAGTGAGCTACGATGATGTCACTGTACTCTAGCCTGGGTGACATAGCAGACTCTGTTTCCAAAAAAAAAAAAAGTAAAGTTGTAACGTAAGTATGTTTAAAACGGAAACACAACGGAAAAAGCCGTGAAATGTCTTGGGTCTTAAGTTCTCTGTATTTATGCAGCTGACTTGTCCGTTACTGAACTATGAATCCAAAGACTTTTTTCCAGCTACTTGCATCTGGAATCCACAAGGATTCGGGGCAGCTGCCACCTCAATCTCTTCCCTATATTATCATAGTTTGGTTGAAATAAGCTACACAGTAACAACGAACACAAAAAAGGAATAATAACTTGCCTGAGGTCAGAGAGCCAGTAGATCTTACAGGTGGTGTGTCATTTATATGAGGGATATGTATCTAGAAGATATTGTTTGGAGTTGGCTAAGGCTGGGGTGACTCATGTATGTAATAAATTATGCAACTTATAGTTGATGAGTGGATAGATTTACTTATGGGGTAGGTTGTGGTGGAACATGAATCTGGAATGTGCCTCATAGACAGTCATGCATGTTGTGTGTTTGGTAAGTCATGTATGTCATAGTTTGTGTACTTACCTTACTGTGTGCAGGGCGTACTAGTTCTTGTATGTAACAGGTCATGTATGTGGCATGGAATGGTGGAGTTGATTATAGATCTTATTCAACTGAATCTAATCTGTCATCTATAGAGAGATGCATTGTTATTCTTGTTATCAGTTAAACTCTGACATGCTAATGATCACATTCCACTTTCAGAAATGTGGAAGTGTGCCTCCTTGGGTTGACGAGGCGCCATTCGTAGAGGCCATAGCTTGCTGGATCATACAGCGGGTATCTGTGCGGGGAATAGCCATTCGTGGCCTGTCATTGGAGCCAGACAGGTGGCAGGGACCTGGGTCAGCCCCCGGAGGCCCCTCCCAGAACTGCCCTCCACTTCTCTTCCATGTTTGTCCTTAGTCAGGTCTTCCTTTTCTGCTCAGCTCTGCACTGCCCCTAAGGCCAAGGGACCCGGGCTCAGGTGTCCCTGTGGTGGGGACACGACAAAGAGGAACCTGCCAGGTTTTGAAGTCTCCTTCAGGCCCTTAACAAATCTTGAAGTAGGGGTTGGGGGGCACTTCTCTCTTCTTCCCTCCCCCAGAATCCTGTCCTGACCAACAAACAACTGGGCCAGAATCATCTCCCCATTTTACAGATGGGGATATTGAGATCCTAAGAAGAGATGGGATGTCAACAAAGCCATCCGAATAGTGACAGGGCTAGTTCCTAAAACCAGGTCTCCTGACATCAATCCTAGCCTGTCTTCCCCTCCAGAACAATTGCTCCCTCTCCCCTTCCCCCCAGGAAATAGCACTTTCAGGTTCTCTGGCTCCAGGGGTAGGATGGAGGAGGGCAAATAAAGCTAAGCTGAGAGAAAGGGCTTCTAGTAGCTGGACGAGTGTGGAAACGAAGCCTCCTGTACCCCTAGACACCCCTCATCTCCTGATTTGCCCACTCAGTAATTCACCCGCCCATTCGCTCATTCATTTACTCAGTAATTCACTTTTTCACTAATTCACCCACTCGTTAATTCGCTCATGCACTCAACTCACACATTAATTCACTGTCTCTGATTCACCCACTCATCTCAGCTCTCCCACTAATTTGCTCTTGCTCAGAGGTCTTACCAAGTCCTTCCGACCTGTGCCTCCGGCCGCAGCGGGGGACAGGGTCTCAGGCCCTTCTGCTCTGTCCTTGCTCTCTACCTTCTATGCCATGACTTTACCTCCCCAGCTAGATTGGGAGCCCATGAAAGTGTCCGCACAAGAAGGCAGTGAGCGCTGGAGGGGCAAGAGGAACGGGGTGTGCCATGAGCGGAAGACAGGCAGGTGCGGCTGCACAACTTCAGGGCCCAAGTCCGAGATGGAAACCACAGCCCCGTGTTCGAAAATTGTGATGCCTTTCAAGATAGCAACAGCAGAGCATTAAACCGAGCCTGGGGGCTTTCTAAGCGTGGGGCTCTACGTGACTGCACGGGGGGTACACCCATGAAGCCCGCTCCGAAGGGAGGAGATGGGTGGAGAACAACAACGGAGACAGAAAAGGGGACACAAAACAGAGAGGGAGGAGGAGGAGGGGTAGGCGTTGGCCAGGCACCGCTTGGCGTTTTATTTATGCCATCGCAAATCACTATTCAAAACACCCTTCGAAGTTGATTGTACATTTCACAGAGTAGGAAACTGAGGCTCAGAGAAGAGAATCATTTACCCAAAGTCACGATTAGTAGGTGGTAGGCGCCTGAATGTAAACCCAGGTCTGCGGGGCTGGAAACCTCGTCTCCGCCTGTTCTGGGAGGGGGTGTGGGGGAGGGACAGGAGAATGTGACAGGGAGATTGGAGATGGAGTCTGTCTGGGCCAGAGCAGCTGGGGCCTGTGAGGGCTGGTGGGTACCATAATAGGATCACAGGGAACAGAGGAGGGGACCTAGAGGTGAGTCTGGCCGTCCCAAACCTCCAACCCATTCTGCTCCCAGGAGGTGGGAAACTGCAGGGGAATTGGAAGAAAGGTCTCAGAACAAGGAACCAAAAGATGGGCATCTGGGACCTGGGATTTGGGTTTCTAAATCATGGGCCACGAGGCAGCTTTATCTCCGCAAGAGCATTGAGGGTAGAAGTCAATGATTTGGGAAGTTATTGAATTAGGGCGTCTTGGAGGTAGGCTGTCAGCGTCTGATCATATCAGTTAGAACGCCCGACTTGGGGGGACGATAGCTGGGGGGTGGCTGAGTCAGGGGTCAAATGAGCTCCGGGGAGTTACAGTGCCTGCCTCGCAGAATTGGTAACTGAGTATTGGTGAGTTAGGGCCCCAACAGTTGTAATTAGCACCCCGAGTGTCAGCCAGAAACCAACAAACAGCCAAATCCCGGCGCCCCGCCCAGGCTATCCACCAGCGGGGGACCGATTAACCATTAACCCCCACCCCTCCCGGGCAGAGCCTCCACCCCTCCGCAGGGGCTAGGCCAACACTCCCGCAGATCCTCCCAGAGGACGGTTTGAAACGAAGGAAGGCAGAGACAGAGGGCGCCTGGGAGGAGGCAGTGGGAGGGCGGAGGGCTGGGGCCGGGGCTCGGCCCCAGAGCCTTCAGGGTGGGCATCGTGGGCAGGGCAGGTGGCCGAGGTGTGGAGCAGGGGAGAATGCGCCTCTCCAAAACCCTCGTCGACATGGACATGGCTGACTACAGTGCTGCGCTGGACCCAGCCTACACCACCCTGGAGTTTGAGAATGTGCAGGTGTTGACGATGGGCAATGGTAGGTGGGGGCAGGGAGCCCAGGTGTGCCAGCGGGGGCAAGTGTGCCCATGTATGGGAGTGGATCTTTGGCACTTAACTTTGGGGTAGGAGAATGATCGAGAATGGTAGGTTGGTCCAATAGGCAGGCGTAAGTGTCGCCAGGTGAAGCGAATGGGCCCAGGTACGGCGACAGAGGCATTCTGAGTGAGAGGAGGCCCGCAAGGGTAAACTTCCAGCAAAAGTAGACTCCGAGTCTTCCCCTCCGGCCCCCTTGGTCCCTGTTGCTTCAAAGCTGCTCTGCTCCGTGCAGTGACATGATGGCGAACTCCCTCTTGGCGTCCAGCTCCAGTAATTCAGCCCAACATGGCCCCTTCCTGAACCCCTCGGGCCTAGGTCCAGAGACATGGAGAGATACGTCCTGTCCCTGGAGTCGGAGGTTGGAGGCATGCCTGCATTTCAGTCTTTGGGACTTTCCTAGGGAAATTTGCACTTAGAGAAAATGGTGTTTTCAGGGAAGGTTTGCTGAGTAAGAAGCCAACTCAGCAGTGTGTGTGTTGTGTGTGTCTGTGTTCCTGTGTGTGATCGCGAGTTCCTACGTAAGCGTGCAGGCGAGGTAGTGTACGTACAGGCAAGTGTGTGCCTTTGGGAGGATATTCGGCGTACTTTTGTGTTCAAGCGTCTGCATGTGCGTGTGCCGGGTCTATTTCAATTCGTATTTGTTCATTGAGTGGGCCTGTGTTTGCGCCCCTGCCGGGTGTCTGTGTGTGTCTTGCTTATGCGTGTCAGTGACCGAGTGTGCGTGTGCACGCGTCTGTAGGTGTTTCCACATGTGTGCTGCGTATGTGGGTCATGACCGTGTGTGTTTGCGCATGTGCATATGTTTGTGGCCCTGTGCTTTCTTTACCTGCATCCTGGGTGTGCATTTTGTCACGTGCCCGTGTTTGCACCTTCTCTGTACATGTGCTCATCTCCTGTTCCTGTGGTAGCTCATGGCCAGCACGGCTGGAAAGGGCGGGGGGGAAGGAGCCGCTGGGCACTGCGTATGGTCAATCTCACCAGGTGCTTGCCTGCCCTGACGCCCCCTCACTGTGTGACCTTGGGAATGTCACCTCCCCTCTCCTGCCATCTGTGTCTTCTACAAAATGGGCTGCATCACCCCCGGCCTGCTGGCCGGCCGGCTTTTAGGAGTGTCTGAGGATCATGTGAGGGGTTTGAGGGGAACACACACTGGAAATCGCCAGCAAGTTGCTCCTGCACTAGGCAGAATGTCATGTGTCCCCACAGGGACAGAATGTGCTGTCACCCTCCTAACCACTGCCCAGCCCTGGGCTGCTCCCTGAGGCGTCCCCATTACCCCTTCGGAGTCCAGGAATCATGTGCTCCTGAGGTGGAGACCAAGTTCCTCAACTGGTGTCCCAAGGACAAGACAGCCTCCAGCTCTGGAACCAGAAAGATCTGAGCTCCAATCTGGCATAGGTCCTTCCTACTTGTGTGGACACAGCCAGCCATTTTCCTCTCTAAACCTGTTTCCTCGTCTATAAAATGGGGATAAATAATAGTATCTGCCTCCCAGGGCTAACCAGAGGATGAATAAGACAAGTTGCCTCAGTGCTTCGTCCTGGTAACTGGTCCTGGCCCCCACAGGGGTGGTCTCAAGGCCTCTGAGCATCTGTAACAAGAGCCTCTGGCATTCCTCACTGGAGTCGGAAGTGATCTACGAGTACAAGTAGGGTTATGTGAGGTTGTTCTCCAAAGTGTTTTGAGTACATCCTGGACCAGTGGCTCGAAAGCGCCAAGGAGAGCTCCCCATCCATCCCCCACCCCCATACAGCAACGGCAGCCGGGGCTCCTTGTTGATTAAAGGTCCCAGCAGACACCTCGACACATGTGGCACTGGCCAGAGTCGTCCAGCACACCTGGACCAGAAATCTGGCCACTGTACTCAACAGCACTGTGAAGACCCTGGGCAAGTCACTTGCCCTCTCTGAGCCTCAGTGTTCTCCCCTAAAGAATGGGGGTGATCAGCTGACCTCAGGGGGGGCTGTGGAGATGATATACCTGACAACACCCGAGCCATCCTGGCCACGAGGTGGGAGCTCCTTCCCCAGCCTCCCCCTGAATGGCCGGGAGTTGTGGGGTCAGCTCTCCCTGGGGGCTGGGGGAGGAGAGGCTGAGGGAGAAAGGGCACCTACACGGCTTAACAATTATCCCCATCTCCAGGAATAATTCACCAAGTGGAGGGGGCTGCACTCCTGGGCACACGCGAGAGTCCGGGATGTTCCGCCAGGCCACGGCAGAAATGAGATGCGGCAATCTCTGCTTGTGCGCGGAGCCCGAAAGTTCTCCGCTCCCAGGGTTTTCTCCTGCAGAAAAGTTTTATTTCACAAGGGCGGATGTAGTGCTTGCTGTGTGCCGAGCGCTTCGCATATATTGATTCACTGAATCCTCATAACAGCCCCAGGGGGCTATTGTGCCCCATTTTACAAGTGAGTGGACGATGGCAGGGAGAAGGACACCAACACAGCCAACACCACGCAGCTGGAAAGTGGGCAGGCTGGGACTTGAACCCAGGCAGAAGAGCTTCAGAGTTTGTGTTCTTAACTGGATGTCCCCTTAAGGGACATCCTGAATCCCCAGGGTCAGACTCAGGATGTCTGTGAAAACCTGTGTGTGTGTGTGTGTGTGTGCGTGTGTGTGTGTGTGTGTGTGTGTGGTGTGTGGACTGTGCAGTGTGCACGCGCATGGACTTCCGGAGGGGGGATGATCTGTAGTGTTTATCACCTTCTCCAAAGGGTCTATCCTTGCTAGAAGATTTGCTTACAAAAAAAGGGGATTCAGCCACTGACGTTTTTTAAAAATTTGAAAATAGACCAGTCTAATTGAATTGCTGCTCCTTTTACAGCTGGGGAAACTGAGGCCCAGGGGCAATTGACGCAAGGGAAAGGAACTTACCCACAGTCACAGGAGAGCTAGTGGCCATGTCAACGCTAGCGCCCAGCCCCGGGCCTCCTTTGCCCCCCACCTAGGATCCCCCTTCCCATGTTTATAATGATGCAGTAGCTTCTGTCCCTGGGACAGGAGGTGTTCAAGGCTGCCACGACCCTTGCCATGATCCTCTTACGAGGGCAAGTGACAGTTTTCGGTGCATGTCCTCCCTGTTCCCCAGAGAGTCTGCAGGGCCCCTGGGCTCCAAGCTGAGATCCGCTCAGTCCCGGTCACTCGATGAGAAATGAGGGACAGGACCTGGTTCTAGGGAGAAGCCAGGGGAGTATTTGTCCCTTCCACAGCCCCCTCTGCTCAGTGAGGAGGCTATAGGGGTCATATGTCCCCTGGGAGGTGGCCAGGTCTTCATTCTTTCCCAGAGAAAGCCGGGGCCAGTAGCCTCCACTGCAGGGAGAAGCAGACCCTTGCAAACAACGCTGCGGAGACAGTGTCACAACCACCCCAGTTTCTAGATGAAGTTCCGAAAGGCCAAGTGACTTGCCCAAGGCCATCGAGGGCCTGGCTGGGGCTGAAGCCCTGGAAAGATCCCCCACAAGCCTCCTATTGGTCTCTGACTTTCTGCCTCGCCTGAGACCTCACTACCTCCTCTTCTGGCGCAGACACATCCCCGTCAGAAGGCGCCAACCTCAACGCGCCCAACAGCCTGGGTGTCAGCGCCCTGTGCGCCATCTGCGGGGACCGGGCCACAGGCAAACACTACGGTGCCTCGAGCTGTGACGGCTGCAAGGGCTTCTTCCGGAGGAGCGTGAGGAAGAACCACATGTACTCCTGCAGGTGAGGAGACCCCAGGAGGGGGCCTCGACTTCTATAGCTGGGAAATGGGTGCACTTGGGCTCACATCCCCAGAGTCTGCCTTCTCCCTGAGTGGGTCCCAGAGGCACCTGCCCTTCCAGGCCTTCAAGGATCTTCTGCTTTCTCAGACTTTGTGGATCTAGGGGGAACATCTATTCTAGGAACCCCATTTACTGATCATAAAGCTATGGGCTGCCCTTTAATGAGCACCTGCCACATGCCAGGTGCCATCCTACGTCTTTGCGTGTATCCTACCGTCCCCACGAGCCTGTTGTTATTTTTCCCATTTAGCAAATGAGGATCTGTGAGGCTTAGGACCACTCCTCCTACGAAGCCTGGAAAGATGGGCCCATCCTCCAACCCGGTGCTTTTTCTGGGACAAATAGGGGACCGGCCCCAGGCCTTTCCGCCTACCCTACGGGCTTCCCAAGGCCGTGGGGAGCCCTTTTCCAATCTCATTCCAGGCAGGAGCCATGAAATCATAGCAGCTGTCAGTCGTGAGCAATGGCCGTATACAGCAGCCGTGCCCCATCAGTGTGTGATGTCATCTCACCTGTCAACACCCCTCTGGGATGGTCACCCTTGTGACTCCCATTTTATAGATGAGGAAGCTGTGGCTTGGAGGGCTGGGCATTTGCCCAAGGTCACTCTGCTTGAATCAGTGGCAGGACCGATGTGGACACTCAGGGCCGCACCCATAACCACTGTGCGGCGCTGCCTCTACGTCCTGCCCTCTCCAGAGAGGCTGATGTGGACCACGTACTGTTGGCCATGACCAGGAGCCTGCCGTGTGTGCTGGGCTTTGTAGGATGTGGTGGGAATAGCAAGGCTCTGGCACTCAAGAGGCTAAGGTCCCCAGCTCAGCTCTACCTGCACCCAGCTGAGTGACCCAGGGCCACATGTTGCCTCTCTGAGCCTCAGTTTCCGCATGTTTAGCAGGACGGGATTGGACTCTTAGGGAGTCCATAGGGCCTCTCCAGCTCCTGTCAGTTCTCACGAGAACGCCGGGGATGAAGGGATAGAGCACTGAGATTGGGGGTCCCCTGAGGGCCGGGGGCCCTAGTTCTGTCCTAAGAGAGAGAAGTTGTTTCTTCTCCATCCAACCATCCAAAGCTCTCTCCAGATTTAGCCGGCAGTGCGTGGTGGACAAAGACAAGAGGAACCAGTGCCGCTACTGCAGGCTCAAGAAGTGCTTCCGGGCTGGCATGAAGAAGGAAGGTGAGCCTCAGCCCTCCTCCAGCCCATCCCCCACCCCCCACCCGCACCCACGGTCTGGACAGTCATTTACAACTGTAGCCACACTTTATGACTCGGTGACAGGCCCCGGGTGACTGGCTAATGACTGAGAGGAGGGAGGGCCTGGAAATCTGACCATGGGGAGCGGCTGGGCTTGGTCTTGAGAAAGATTCGGAGATAAGCGCCCACTCTCAGCTACTCGGCCTCCCAGCAACCACCACCCCTGCCTGCCCGCGCCACCGCCAGGCAGCCACATTGGGTGTTTTCTTCTTAATATAAGATTCCAAACGTTAGGAAAAGTGTAGAGAATGACATTTTGCAAACACCCAAGTACCCACCACCCTGACTTCACAAAGGTGACAGCGGGGGCAGCCCTATTCCTGAGCTTCCCATCCCAGGGACAAGTGCCCCTTCAGAAACGGGAACGAGGCCCCAGGCTCGTCCTGGCTGCAGGAGGATGACAAGAGCAGAGCAGAGCATTTATTAGGGTCGTGCCAGGCCTCCTGCCAGCCGCAGACACCAGTCCCTGGGCTGGGCTTTCTCCACGTTTGGTAGCTCCTCTCCTTCTCATGGCGTGGCTGGAGCTACCATGACGCCCCTTGTCGTGGCTCAGGGTACCGAGGCCCGCAGAGGCGGAGCGACTTGCCGAAGGCCCCACAGCCAGCCAGGGGAAGACCTGAGGTCTGAGCCCCAGAGCTTTGTGCTGTTTGGATGACACCTCGGCGCTGCCTGCTTTATGCCCCCCACACCCCAGGAACAACTTACTTGGGCTGAAAATTGTTTTCAGCCCAAAAACAGGAAGCAAAAATCTTTTAACTGCTTTTTCAAAGTAACTTGGGTCCATTTTCAAATCTCTTCGTCTCCTTCGCCTCTTGACTCACCTTCCCCAGCTCTGGGACTAGCCCCCAGCCTAGCCGGCAGCTGCGCCACACCAGCCAAGCCCTCGGTCTGGTCCTGTACAAACAGACACACACACACACACACACAGACACACACACCCCAGAAGCGGGAACCTGGGACTCCACCTGCCCCGGGCCCTGTCTCTGCCTATGAGCCCCTGTTTTCTCTGCTCCCTCCCATGGAAGTATCTTCTGTGTCTCAGCCCTACAGGGCCTTAGTTTCATGAGCGCCGTTGGAAAATCTGGGCTGGCTGATCCCGATGAAGGAGTAGGGGTGGTCCCCAAGAGCCCCTCCTGCTCTAAATACCACAATTCTAACATCCAGACCTCAGTGGCTCTGCACGTGGAGGAGGGGCTTTTTCAACCTGCAATTACCGCCCCTCTCAGCCCAGCTGTCCATGGGGCTGAGCCTCTTTCGCCCGCTGCCACTTCCACTCTGTGCGATGAGAGAGGTTGAGTGGGGAGGTGATGCATGTATGAACAGTGGGAGACGAGAAAAAGGTTAGAACTGCAGTCTCAGGCTCTAACATTCTGTGGTCCTAATAGTCAGTGATTCTATTATCCCAATAGCCTGAGGTCTTAGGCACTGATCGTGCAGAGGCGGTGTCCAGGGGGCATCGTGTTTGAGAGGATGAATCTCTCGTGTTGGCATTTCAGGCCTGGTCACAGGCAGGGGGAGAGTGGTTGGCAGCACCTGAGCAGGTGGTTACCTGCCTAGGCTGTGTGTGGCCTGGTCCTGCATATGGTCGGTCTTTATATATGTCTCTTGTTAAACATCCAGAGTCATTTTCACCTGTGTAGCTTTAGGGAGGTTTCTGCGCCTTCTGGGCTCCAGTTTCTCCATCTATAAAATGAGGGGGTTGGATAATGATCCCTTCAGCTGTATGAATCTAGCCCCGTACTCCCTGCCCTACCTGTACAAGGACATGCCGCCCACCGGGACATGTGTGCTTGTTCCCTGGTCCTTCACTGAGCTGCCACAGCGCCAGCAGTCCCCATACCCGGCTCCTGGAGGACGAATGAGAACCCCAGGCCACTCAGCCTTGGCTCAGCCTTGCAAATAGCCGTTTGCTTCTTAGCCTGGGGAAACTGACATTGTGCCAGGAGGACAGGAGAGTTGGCTGATGGCAAGTGTGTGCGGGCTAGTAAACGTTGGCGCTTACTTACGTGCCTGGGTTAACTGGAAGATCATGACACATGCAGTCGCTTGGTTGCTTTAAGAAGCGACAGGGTGGCAAAGTGTTCAGTTGCCACTGCCGCCAAGCCCTGGGAAGTTAGGGTGTTACTAGCCCCACCTAAGTCTTCCAGACCCCAACACCCCTCCTTAGCCTGGTGGGAAGTTCCCAAAGCCAAAGAAGGTCCCAGTGGAAGTCTCACCGATCAGGAGAGTTGGGACGAGTTCTCATTTCCTTTTCTTGATGACCTTAGGAGAATTTGGGGACTGAAACCTAGTCCCTTGAGGACCGGAAACCGCGACCTGGAAATTGAGGATTTATAGACCAGCTGGGTCTGTAAGAGATCATCAAACCTCTCCCCTCATACTCCACAGATGAGGAAACTGAGGCCAGAGAGGTGATGTGGTGTGTCAGGGGTGGAGCCGGGACCAGAACTCAGGCTCCCGGAGCCCAGCAGACACCAGGCTCCCTGGAGCGCAGCTGCGACTGATCAGCTGGGAGGCGTATTCTCTGGCCTGGGTTCTGGAAAATCCTCTGGACCACAGGGAAGGGCTTCAAATCTCATAGGCCTATACGTCTTGGCCAGAGGATATCCCACAGTGGCTAAAAGGGGCTTCCTAGAGGGACAAAGACTCCAGGGAGAAACCTGAGGGTCATCGTGCCAAAAGCAGGCCAAGGGTTCCTTCTTACAAGCCAAGGTCAGGGCGACAGACACCTGCCTGGGCCTCAGCTGTCAGGCCCGGGACAAATATCTGGCTCCTGGCATCAGGGACCCAGCCCAGAGAGTGGGACCAGGGGTTGCAGGAGGTGAGGGTTGTTAATGGGCCAGGGGCCATCGGATGCTGCCTTCCCCGGACGCCCTGGCCAGCTCCCCACAGGCCCCCACCCACAGATTCTCTGAAGACAGGCTCATCTCCTCTCCGCCTCTGCCCAGGTCGGTTAATATTCAATAGAAGTTACATTAGGTCCCCGACCCTGCTAATACTGAGCAAACATTTGGAAAACATCATTCCGTGACTGAGCTCGCGCCGGGCACTGATAACGCCCGCCTAACCTTGAGGAGCTCTAGCGGCAGCTGCTGACAGCAGCCCTTTCATTCCGCCCGCCGGCCACTCGGCGCCCTGGTGGGTGCGGGCGCTGGCAGGGCCGCGTGGGAGGGGCGCCGGCAGGCGGGGCGGACGGCACCGGGCAGGGCAGCGGTGCTCTGAGCTGCCCATGCGGGCAGTGGGTCTCCGAGAGAAGATCGCTTACCCTGGGGTCTCTGTCGTATCCCACGGACCCCTGGGCTCGGTGTAGACTGACTTTTATTCTCGGGTTTCAACAATGTGTGAAAATCGAGAGAGAGCAGAACAGCTGGGATGTCGTGTTCCGTGGAGAAATAGGGAGGTTGTCAGAATTAGGGCCAATCTCATCCATCGCCTTCTTTTGCTCACTCGATAAATACTTACTGAGCACCCACTGGGTGCCAGGTTCTCTCCTGGTTGCCGTGGCTACAGCAGTGAACAAGAGGGATGGAGTTCTGGCTTTCTGGATCTTTCCTTCTTGGGAGACAAACAGGAGAGAAATTAACAAATCATTCTATGATAAGTGGCTTGAAGACACATAAAGCAGGGTGGGAGCAGAGCGCCGGGGCCCGACCACGTCAGACAGGGCAGCTGGAGCGGGTATCTGAGAAGGCAGCGCCTGTATGCAGACGCGAGTGAGGGGAAGAAACAGCTAAGCCCAGGAAGAGAATTCCAGGCCGCAGAAACAGCGTGGCAAAGGCCCAGAGGGCAGGCGTGCGGATGTACCCCGAGCAGGGAGGCAGGTTTAGCAGGGACAGAGAGGATGTGACAGACCATCCCGCCATGAGGACTTATGAGGCGGGAGGCACTGGCTTTGAGCAGCAGGGGACACGACCTGGGTATGTTTGAATGGGTCCCTCTGTCTTCTGAGAGGGAGTGCAGATGGGAGGGGCCAGGCCAGAAGCGGAGCCCGGTGAGGAGGGCCCGTGCTAACCGGGGAGAGAGTGGGGCCCTGAGCGGGACGGGGGGGGGGCCAGGGAAGCAGAGGATGCTGCCCAAGCTCTGGCCTGAGAGCCTGGAAGAACCAGCCTGCCGGTTCCCAAGACGGGCGAGAGTGCAGGGAGCAGGTTGGGAGGGAAAAGCTTAAGGGTGGGGAAACTGAGGCCCAGAGAGACGATGCCATTCCCAGCAGCACACAGAGAGAGGGTGGCAGATTCTGGCCAGGGGCCCAGGTCTCCTGTAGCCTTGTCCTCGCTCCTTCCCATGTCAGCAGAGCTCATTTCTTGGGGAGGTCAGGACGGTGGAAGGACCGTCTTACCTCTTAGGCTGGGACCGACCTGGATGGGTGGGTGGTGAGGTGCGGGGCCCTGGCGGGTCCCTGAGTGCCAGGGAGAGGCCAGCGGTGGGGCAGGAGGGAGACAGAGCCTGGCTGACTCTCAGACGGTCAGTCTGGAGCACACGCAGCTCCTGCTGCTGCGCAAGACCGTCAGGGCAGGTGGGGGCCTCAGACCTCATCTCAGGAGCCCCTCCCTGGGCTGGTTCCGTGCCGCCCAGAGCAATTTGTTTTGTTTATTTTACCCTCTTCCATGTGGAAAGGAAGGGACCCGTTTCTAGAACGGAGCTTGAAAATCTAGTCAGATCCCCTCCTCTGTGCCCAAGACCTCTCGTAAGCCCTCTGCCAAGCCATCGCTGTCTTGCACGCCCCTGGTGATGGGTGGATCACTCCTGCAGCCTCCCCATGGTGCAGGGGGCAGTTCTGGTGTTTGGAAAGTTCTCCCGCAAGCTAAGTTAGACCCCATCTCCCCTCAGTCCCACACGCTGACGTGGGCTCTGTCCTCTGGACGCCCTCCATATACTCCCACCCCCAACTGTGTCTCCAGGACAGCCCTGCAGTGTCTCTGGGTTGGACTCCCTCCTCCTGCTCCTCACCCACTTGCTGGTCATGGACACCCCCACCCCCCTCACCCCGTCCTCGTCCTCCCTCCTCACTTCTCTCTGCCTCCTCACAGCTGTCCAAAATGAGCGGGACCGGATCAGCACGCGCAGGTCGAGCTATGAGGACAGCAGCCTGCCCTCCATCAACGCGCTCCTGCAGGCGGAGGCCCTGTCCCAGCAGGTACCAGGCGCCCCTCCCAGTCACCTGGGGATCCCCCACACTGCTCACTCCCTCCACCTCTGTCCTTCCCAGCTAGGCCTGGAGCAGCTGATACCACGGAAGGGACGCTGAGCCCAGTGTCACATAGCCGGTTCAGTAGCAAAGACAGAACTGGAACCCAGGCCTGGTGCGCTGGCACACTTTCTAGTTCCTCCTGCTGCCTGCGTCCCACAGGCCAAGCAGGGTCTTTGCTCTCACTGAGGGCCTGAGACCAGCTCAGCAGCAAGAGAACAGAGCAGTGGGCCAGTGAACAGACAGGGCTGGCAAACAGGCCCAGCCAGCCCCTTGCTGTGTGACCTTGGGCAAGTCACAGCCCCTCTCTGGGCTGTGCTTGCATCATGTCAGAGGAGGAGGAGAATTTCTGCCCTGCTTCTCCTCTGAGGCTGAGAGATTCCTTGAGGCTCCAGAGAGCTGGCGGAGGAGGAGGCCCAGAGGGAGCCCCTCTCCTCCCTGTCTGCTTCCTCCCATCCGCCCATTTCACAAGCTTCCTTCAGAGCTGGAAGATTCCCACGGCCCAGCTCCCTCCCTCACCCCTTTCCATAGAGGGAAACTATCCAGGGAGGGGGCTCTGTGCCGGGGACAGAGGGTGCAGGATGGCCCGGCCATCCCAGCATTTTCCTTGCTTCCTGCAGATCACCTCCCCCGTCTCTGGGCTCAATGGCGACATCCGGGCCAAGAAGATCGCTAGCATCGCGGACGTGTGCGAGTCCATGAAGGAGCAGCTGCTGGTGCTCGTGGAGTGGGCCAAGTACATCCCGGCTTTCTGTGAGCTGCCCCTGGACGACCAGGTGAGGGCGGACATGGAGGTGGGCAGTGGTGGACACTGGGCAGCCAGGGGCCTGCTAGTCCACCTGGGATTTGGCCTTGGACTAGTTTGATTTTATTTAACAAAGCACATAGAGCTCACGTGTGCCTGGAACTGTTTAAATCACTTTACAAATATTAACTCATTTAATCCCTCCAATGACCCTCTGAGGTAGATGCTATTATTATTCCCATCTTATAGGTGAGGAAACTGGGGCACAGAGAGGTTAAGTAACTTGCTCAAGGTCACACAGCTAGTATCCAGTACAGCCAGGATTAGAGCCAGACAGGGAAGCTTCAAAGTCCAGGCCCCGAACCACTGCACCATGCAGCATTCCTGGGGGGATGTTGACAGGGACCCAGGGCCAGGGATCAGGAGATTTTGGCTTAAGCTGAAGCTCTGAGACTGGTTCTCTGGGGGATCCTGGACAAATGACTTCCTCTCTCTGAGCCTCAGTCTTCTTATCTGTAAAGTAGGAATTATAATATTTCCTGTAGAGCATTGTTGGGAGGATTGAGGACATCACTGTCTGAAAAGTGCAAATTCACGTAGCGGAGACCAAAGCTGGCCTCCCTAAACGTTAGTTTCTTCCTTCTATCTCACCGAGATGGCCTAACTCAGCATTTTGTTTTCCAAAGGACATTCTTTGGAATATCGACAATATCCCAGGAGAAAAGACAGGGCTGGGGGGAGGGTGGCGTGTGTCTGTGGACAGATGAGTTTCTGAGATATCACAAATGACAGCTCCTGCCCAGAGCATCCCCGCAGACACTCCCCTGTCTAGGAAAGGGGAGCTGGACTGGGTCACCTTCCCAGCTTTGGAGGAAGCTCCTGGTGCATTTGCTTACCTGTCCTGTACCTTTGCACAAGATACGACACTGCAACGCATGCCAGCGTGTGAGAGCTTCTGGGAAGCCGTGTGGTCCAGGCAGCTGTTTAGCTTTGTGGCTGTCCGGGCTTCCCGAACTCCTCTGGGCCCCAGATGCTCCTGGAACACCTGTTACTGTTACACAGGGGGACACTTGGTGCAAACACTGGTTTGGCTGGTCCTCAGCCTCACTCAGGGGCTGGACCAGAGGCCCTCCCCCGTGGTTCCTCCCTCCGTCAGGGGAGTTGACAGGGCAGGGATCTTGGCCGGTCTGCCCCTTCCTTCTCCCTGCTCCTCACTCTGGCCATGGTCCCCTCTGCTGGAGAGTCTACATTAATGTTTAATCCCGCCTGTTCCTTCCCAGGGGCTTAGCAGGGCAACAAGATACCCCCAAGCTGAGCAATTGTTAACCTCAATTTCCCACCCAAACCTTTCTGGCTGGGGCTCAGAGCATTCTCAGAGAGCAATGATGGGTGGCCAGTAACACGGGACAATCATTAATCCCCCCACCTGCCTGCCCACCCCCCAGAACAGCCGCCATGTCAGGAGGTTGAAGCTGGGACCAGGAGGGTGCCCAGCTCCCCATTCATGGTGTACAAGGAACCCATCTTGCCCAGCACAGGTGGGTATACCTGGAACAGCTGGGGGCATTGTCCTCCAAGGACACCCCAATTCTGTCCACACTGCCCCAGGAACCAGCTTCTTTGTCTTGGACATCATCCCATTGAGACCCAGAAGTCTGGGATGATCGGATAAGGGGATGGAGGCCTAGAGAGAGGAAGCCTTTTGTCTACGGCCACAGCACAGGGACCCAAATCCAGTTTGAGAGCCACTGGGTGACTGACGAAAGGCCTGCGCGGAGCCTGGTGCATAGCAGGTGCTCGGCAGCGAGCGTCCTTCGCCTCCCTTCACGCTGGTCATGCAAAGTGGCTTCTCACGTCCAAGGCTGTTTCCCATTTTCCTCTTTCTCTGTCTTCCTCACAAGGTTCTAACCAAGGGGGGATAGAAGGGGTAGAGACAGGTGGCTGCCCAGGGGCTAGATCTAAACAGGAAGTCAAGACCTTTGCTCATTCATTCCCCCTTCCTTCATTCACTCATTCAAATATTTATTGAAGGCTTACTCTGTGCCAGGTATCGCCATGACTTACAACAGTTTAGCCTCCTTAGAGAGGCCTTCTCTGCCACCTGACGTAGCCATTCTGCCCCATTGCTCTGTACCTCGCACCCTTCATCTTCCTTTCTTCCCAACTCCCTCCTTCCGCCTGCCGGCCTTCCTCACCCCCTCATCCACCTCTTTTCCTTTCTTCCTTCTTTCCTCCCTCCCTCCCTCTTTTCCTTCCATCCTTCCTTCCTCCTTAGCATAACCACCCTCTGTCCTATTATTTATTCCTACTTTATTATCTTTTCCACCCCCTCCCCCATAGGACGTTAGGACCTTGTCTCTCTCTTTTTTAACATTGTGTTCCATTGTCTAAAAAAGTGCCTGGCACTTAGTAGGCATTTAAGATTTGATAACTGGAAAAATGGACAATCAAATTAATGAATGAACAAAAGCATTTTAACCTTCTGGTCTGGCTTGCTATAGAACCTCTAAACTCCCTTAACCCAATTTGAAAGATAAGCTCCCTGAGGCCACCCTACTACTATTTTTTTTTTTTTTTTTTTGAGACAGAGTCTCACTCTTTTGCCCGGGCTAGAGTGCCGTGGCATCATCCTAGCTCACAGCAACCTCAAACTCCTGGGCTCAAGCGATCCTTCTGCCTCAGCCTCCTGAGTAGCTGGGACTACAGGCATGCGCCACCATGCCTGGCTAATTTTTTCTATATATTTTTAGTTGTCCGATTCATTTCTTTCTATTTTTAGTAGAGACGGGGCTCTTGCTCAGGCTGGTTTCGAACTCCTGAGCTCAAACAATCCACCTGCCTCAGCCTCCCAAAGTGCTAGGATTACAGGCATGAGCTACCGCGCCCGGCCCCTACTACTATTTTTTGCCAATCCATCTTTTGGTCCTCATGCAAGCACTGAAGCCAACGGTTCTGAAAGGGCAGCGATGTTCCCCTGTGAGCTAGCTGGGCCTCGCTCGGACTCTAGTCTTCAAAGGCTGCCTTATGCTCCCTGCAGAGAAGGGGTCTGTGCAGCAGATGCTCTCCAAGGACCAGTGTTCAACCTCTGCTTTGGGAAGGACCAGCCCTGAGAACCAATGTCCATATCCAAGTTCTCGTAATGCTCTCTTGGAATCCTAGAATCTTGCAATGTCAGCTGGGCAAATGCCCAGGAGATCTTCCCGCCCAGTGATTTCCCAAACAGAATTGCACTTCAGAATCAACTGAGGAGCCCATTAAATGCAGATCCCTGGGCCCACCCCATACATACAGAATCAGAATCTCTGGTCGTAGGGCCTAAGATTCTGTGTTTTTAAATGCAATAATATTGCATAATTCTCTGTAGCTAGTCCCTGGGTAGGAATTTGGGACTCACAGTTTTAAAACTTTTGGGGGTCATAGTCCCATTTGAGAATCTCAAAAATATGCACACAAATTGTTGCTTATGGTTTCACAGGCACAGAGTGTGTCCGGGGGGAGCAGCTGCTTGCCCAAGGACACAGCAGTTCGAGGCCAGAGTCAGCACAAGGTCTCCCAGCCCTGAGTGCATGTTCTTTCCCCTTCCACGTTTCTGCCAAATCCTTTCCAGGTCCCTAGGTTTATCAGTTATGGAAGGAAGGCTGCAGTTTTATGATTGCAATTTTATAGTTCAGGCAGGCAGAGGCAGAGGGGAACAACAAGCTGACATTCCCACGGTCACTGAGTTGGCTAAGAGCAGCCTTCCCAAGGTGCGGATGCCAGACACTGTCCCTTCTCTCTTCAAGGTGGCCCTGCTCAGAGCCCATGCCGGCGAGCACCTGCTACTCGGAGCCACCAAGCGATCCATGGTGTTCAAGGATGTGCTGCTCCTAGGTGAGGAGGCCGCCTGCCCAGCCAGGGCTCTGCGGAGGGCATGCCCCATGTGGCACATACTCAGCAAGGGAGATTTTCACAGGGGCAGGCAGGGGTGAGGGAGACAGGCCAAGAGTGGCCCTGTCCTCAGGCTTGCGAATGGAGGACTCCAGGACTCAGTTCTCAGCTGGATACCCCACTCAGACGCAAGGAATACAATTCCCTCGGCACTAAAGTTAGAGCATAATGAGGGTTATCCCAGGAATTACCCATCATTATGATGTTCTTTCTGGAGTAGGAGCGAGAGGTGGCCAGGGATGGCACAAAGCCCCAGCCCCTGTCACCTGTGCCTTCATGACATATTTATTATTTTAAATGCTTATATAGCACACATTATATGCCAGAGACTATGCTAACTGCTTTTCAGACATTACCTCTTTTAAAAATACAACAACCCTCTAAAGGAAGCTCTATTATTTATCTCCATTTTATAGATGAGAAAACTGAGGCCCAGAGAGGTTAAGTAACTTATCCAAATATAACCAGCTGTAAGTGGTGAAGCCTTTAAACCAGGGCAGTCCAGCTCCAGAACCTGATCCCTTAACTTTGATGCTTTGGTGCCTCCCAAGTGGCCTTTGTATGTCATCAATAGTGTGAGTCGTGTTGGTAAAAGGAGCTCGGGGGTCCTAGAAAACCAAGTTCCAAACTCAGCCTGATGACTTCAGGCAACTCATCCTCTTAATCTGGGCCTCAGCTTCCTCGTCTGTACAATGGGCGTGACAATCCCAGCAGGTCCTCCTCCCTCTGGCACCAACCGCGTTACCAAGTGAAGAGCCAAAACTAGAGGAGAGATGTCAACCCAAAGTGACTGCCGCATCTCTCCCTCCCAACCCATCCAGGCAATGACTACATCGTCCCTCGGCACTGCCCAGAACTGGCGGAGATGAACCGGGTGTCCATGCGCATCCTGGACGAGCTGGTGCTTCCCTTCCAGGAGCTGCAGATCGATGACAACGAGTATGCGTGCCTCAAAGCCATCATCTTCTTTGACCCAGGTACAGGCCACACCTCCTAACCCATCTCTGACTGTCCAGAGCCTCGGCCAGGTTTCTCCTACTGGGTTATGTACCCGGAGTTCACAGCCGTCTCATGGTCAACGACAGCCGGGAGGGCTGTTTGCGTCAGCCGCCTTTAACAGAGGAGGCAAATTGAAGCTCAGAGACAGGATTTGACTCGACAGGACACACCGACTCCAAAGACTTAGGTGTTTTCTTTCTTTTTTTTTTTAATTCCTTTTTTTTTCTTCCTTTTTTAAATTTCAGAATATTATGGGGGTACAAACATTTTGGTTACATATATTGCCTGTGCATTGCCCAAGCCAGCCTGGTGTTTTCTTTGTCTTCTTTCCTTTCCTCCCTCCTTTCTTCATTCTCATCTCCTACCTTCCTTCTTTTCTTTCTTTCATCTTTGCTTCTTTTTTTTTCTTTTTACTTAGCCTTGACTTGAAGCTCCATCTTTGCTTCTTTTCCTTGAAAAATTTTATCAAAATAATATCTACACGTACTTAAAATGCAAACAGTTCTCCCCACCCTACCCTCCTGTTTCTGGCTGAGGGCTATTTCCCCAAAAGCACTTCTGATTCTTTTTCTGGCAGCTACCTCCACAGTTCTCAGTCAAATGCTAAGCCTTCTATTTCTTGATTTACCCATTTTAGATCGTGTCTTTCCTCCTAGGACGGCTGAGGGTTTTGCTCAACTTCACTACCATTCCCATGTTTTTTCCCCGTCCTCCCAATATATTTTTATTGTTATTTTTGTGTCTGTGTTGACTACCTTTGCAACTTTGGGTTATGTGCTTTTATGCCTTTATTTCTCACGCTATCAGCTGTAGACAGCATCTCCCAGCCCTTCACTCGGCCGCGTAGGGAGGACGCACCCTACACTTCCCGTCGGCTCCTGACTCTCCTCTCCGCTCTCCCAGTACTGACTTTTGCACCTGCTGCTTTACCGAATGTCTTCGTAGCCACATCCTTGCGCACAGCCTGCACTCATTTCCCAACGTCGGGGTGCCCCAGCCCTGGAGGCTCGCCTGCTTCCTCCCTTACATGTTAGAGAGGACCTACTGTGTGCCGGGCACTGTCCTCAGTGCTCAGGCCCCGTCTGCATAGAGATCATCTCTAGCAATTCGGTAATGAAGAGGAAGAGGCCCGCCATGGATCGAATGCTCACTAAACACCCTTTTAAACACTTTATGCGGGTTATCTTACTGCATGTACCTATGAAGTAGGGATTATTATTATCTCCATTTTGCAGATAAGGAAACTGAGGCATGGGGAGATTGATTAACTTGCTCAAGGTCCTGCAACCAGGAAATGGCAGAGCTCGGATTTGAACTTCAGACTACCTATCAGTCCCTATCTATCTCTCTCTCTCTCAGGTCCATGCTCTTACCTACCACATGCTAGTCCCCATTACCGGAGGGTGGGGTTTCTAGTTCTGGTTTCCTCTAGAGCCTGGCCCAGGCTGCATCCCCCACAGTGCTCCGCATGGGCCTGGACAGGTTGAATTGCTCTGTCGAATGTGCAGGATTACTGGTGCTGAGTCAGAGGCCGCAATCTCCAGCAACCTGAAGGGGCAGGGTACCTAGTCCAGGGCCCGGCATGTAGGTGACCCTTGCCCTGGATCACCCAACCAGTGCTCGATAAATGTTTGTCAACTGAATGAAAGAATGCACAAACATAGTTCAGTGCAGAGAGAGCTCACTGGAATTGTGGGTGAATTCTCTTTCAGCCACTTTCCTTGTTCATATAACAGGAAATAAATGCATTATCTCCATGAAGGTTGAGATTAAAGTATTGGTTGAGCCCTTGAGTTTCCTTCCAGGTTGAGGATCTAGAATTTATGCACTGATTTTTTCCTTCATCCTTCCATCCATCTACCCATCTCCTCGTCCCATTATCTATTCAATAAATATCCACTATGCATGGTACTGAGTGGGGGATTTAAAATGGCAAATGAGACATCTGGCTGCCCACACGCAGCTCACAGCCTAATTGAAGGACACGTACATCCTGTGTGGTCAGTAGTGATGGAGGAGCCACAGAAATTTGGGGACACAAAGGACACTTATGATGTAGACTTAGGAGGGTAGATGGAGAAGGCTTCCTGGAGGAGGTGAAACCTCACCTGCATCCCCAAGGCAAAAGGAGGCAGGAGCCAGGGAAAGGGAGACTATTCTAACACAGCAGAAGCAGCTTGTCCTGAGGTCTGGACGGCAGGACCTCAGCTGTGGGCCAGAACCCCAAGTTCACATCATGGCTCTGTCAGCAACTGGCTGTGTGGCCCAGGGCAGGTCTTTCCTTGCTCTGTGCCTCAGTTTCCCCACGTGTAAGATGAGGAGGTTGGCAGGTGCCTGCTGAGCGTGGTCCTGAAGTCCTGCCCTCCCTCCTGTGTTCCCCACTCTCCTGGTTTAGTATCTTACTAAATGTGGCAGAAATCTTTTTCTGCCTGAGTCTTAGAAGCCACTGTGCAAGGGTACCCTGGATGTTGAGGACCCTGAATCCTTGTTCCAGCACTGCTGAAGACTCCCCGTGTGAGCTTGGGTAGCTGGGGCACACAAGTCAGGGGTCATCTGGGTCCTGGCTCCCCAGACACTCCAGCTGGACTCTGCTGCCCTCCCTGGCCCACCCCCTTCCATTGCAGATGCCAAGGGGCTGAGCGACCCAGGCAAGATCAAGCGGCTGCGGTCCCAGGTGCAGGTGAGCTTGGAGGACTACATCAACGACCGCCAGTACGACTCACGCGGCCGCTTCGGCGAGCTGCTGCTGCTGCTGCCCACCCTGCAGAGCATCACCTGGCAGATGATCGAGCAGATCCAGTTCATCAAGCTCTTCGGCATGGCCAAGATCGACAACCTGCTGCAGGAGATGCTGCTGGGAGGTCTGTACCAGGTCCAAGAGGGGTGGGGGGTGCTGGGAGACCCACCAGGAGACAAGCCTCCCACAGACCTGAGCTCACCTCTCAGCTCCATGGCTTCCCCACTGTGTGGCTTTGGGAAAGTTGCTTAATCTGCCGTGCGTCAGTTTCCCCATCATAAAAATGGGGACAGGGACAATGGCCCATTTGTTCAGGCACTGAAAGCCTAGCATGTGGCAGCCACTGCTCTCAGTGGTGGAGATTCAGCAAAGAACAAGGTCTTTGCCCACCCGGAGGTTGCATGTGTGCGTGCATGTGGTGTCTGTGTGTGCATGTATAAAAGCTTCTGGGAACAGAAAATAGCCAGGTATATGATAAAGAAGGTAACAGCAGCTTTTGAAACAAACAGGAAATAAACAGAGCTTAACTCTTTAGATAGGTGGGAGACCCCTCCAAAGTGGCGACTTTTGGGCTAAGGCCTGATGGACAAAAGGAAATGGAAGATTTGAAAGCCAAGAGAAGAACATTCCAAGCAGAAGCAACTAGTTCAAGGCCCTGAGGCAGAAGGCGTTTGTGTGTTTGAGAAAGAAGGACAAGGTTGTGAGACGGGAAAGGTGTAGGGGGTGATGACGGAGACTGGGCAGAAACCAAATCAGAAACACAGGGCTTTGTAAGCCAGGGTCAGAAATCTGAATTTTAGTTTCGTTGCAACTGTTGTAAAGAGAGTGAAAATCAGGCTAATGTTTTAAACAAACCACTCCGGTTATTGGGTAGAGAGTGAAGTTCAGGGGGCAAAGTGGAGACCCCCGAGGATGTTGCCGCTGCAGCCGTGTGAAGGATACAAGAGGCTTGCACCGTGGAAATGGGGACACAGAGATAAACTTCCCCCGTTTGGAGGAAGAACCCACGGGATTTGCTGATGGGTCAGATGTGGGAAGTGAGGGGAGGAGGAGGAGTCGAGGACAAAGTCTACGTTTTTGCTCTGAGTAGCAGAAATGATGGAATAATGACTGTGATGGGAAGACTGAGAAATGGGGATGGGGTGGTGGCGAGGTGACCAACAGAACTGTCTTGCTTCTGTTAAGCATGAGATGATTGTCAGATACCCAAGCCGAGTTATCAAGGAGGCAGTCTAAGGAAGAGGTCTTGCTGGGACACCAGATGAAAGGCAGCTCTGTGGCCACGAATTCCAGCCTTGACAAGTCAGGAGAAGAGGGGGTTGCCGTGGAGACAGTGGAGGAAGACTAGCCAGGGAAGTTCCAGAATTCAAGAGAAGAGTGTGTTTTAAGGAGGACAAGCGTTTCATGGTGTGAAACTCTGCAGAGAGAGAGAAAGGTGGGGAAGGGGGCGTGAAGGGGGGAGGGGAAGAGAGAGGGAGGTGCCCATTGCATCTTCGACTTGGGGGCCCTTGGCTGTTGTGTGGGGAGCGATGTCAGAGAGCTGGGAGAGTGGAAACTGAAGAGAAGCCACGAGGAGGATGGCAAGGCAGTGACTAGAATGACGGCGTGTGGAATCTTGTCTACACTCAAAGAGCAGTGAAGATGGGGTGATAGAGAGTGGAGAGTGGGGGTCAGTGAGCTGACGGCCTCAGCAGGTTGAAGAAGTTTTGCAGCGATGGTACGAGACTAAGGAATCTGGAAGAACAGGAGACAAAACCAAAGTGAGGGTGCTTGAACTCAAGATGCTGGAGGTGATGCGGTCACTGCTGATGGCACGGCGAAGGGCAAAGTTTCTCGTCCTCAGCATTAGTGACATTTGGGACTGGATAATTCTCCATTGTGGGGGGCTGCCCTGTGCATTACTTGTCTCCATCCCTGGCCTCTAACCATGAGACACCAGCGGCACCTCTCCAGCAGTGACAAACAAAAATGTCAAATGTCTCCTGATGGGCCAAAGTCATCCCCAGTTGTGAAGTGCTGTCCTGTGGTAGCTCATTTTGTTCTCACTTTGACCCTGTGAATATGGGCTAATTATGAACCAGGTGTCACTGAGATCAGGGTCAGGGGCTTGTGGTCTGTTGCCAGATAAACTTGGGTAAGATACTCTCTCTGGGCCCTGCTATCGCATCTGTAGAACGGGATAATAATGGTATCTGCCCTATAGGATTTTTGTGAGGATTAAATTATGTAAAATATGAAAAGCGCTATATAAAACAGTGCCTGGTACATGATAGGTGCTTGATAATTATTAGTTATCATTGATGTATCAAGATGTACTTTAGAGGCCTCTTGCAAGGCTTGAAATTCCATCATTATCATATTACTGACTGTGGCCTATTACCAAACACCATACCCTATATGGTATTATCACTCCCTGACATGTTTTCTGAAGCAGTTGCTGTGTTCCAGACACTTTGCTAGGCCCTCAAAGAAAGAAGGAAAATCCACATGTAATTGTCATGCTCAGAGACAGAAGAAGGGGTTGTTCCCAAAAGTTGTGCTGCAGATAAATTAGCCGGGAAATTCCCAGGAAGGAGAGGAAGGAGGGTGGGGAGACGCAGGAGAGGCTTCCAAGAGGAGGAAATATCTGATCTGGGATTTGGACTTATGGGCGTGGGGGCTGGAGAAAGCATCTCTGATAGAAGTGGCAATGACGTAGGAAAACACAGGAGGCACATGGATGCTCTGAGTAGGTCAGGTTGGCTAAAGCAGAGATGTGGGGGACAAGGCTGAAAGCTGAGTTGGACCAAATGGTTGAAAGACTTTCATGGCAAGGAGCTGAGAGCCATTGATTGAATCCAGTATATTACTATACAACCAGTACACGACTCATTGTAATATTTAAATGATCTCAGAGCTTCCTTGTATGCTCCTTGTTTCTTTCAAGGCACTTTTGTCCTCTTGGTTTGTTGGGTCCTCTCAATACCCTCGTTAAGCCTGTAGAAAGGGATGGGGTCACCCCTAGTTTACTGGCCCGGGAACAGGTACCTGACAGGCATGGTCAGTGCGGGATGGGCAGGTGATTGGCCACACCGGGAAGATGGTGCCTAAGGCCTGCGGTCGTCATCCCAGACTCTCCCAACCGACTGATTCCCTCTCTACCTTCAGGGTCCTCCAGTGACGCACCTCATGCCCACCACCCACTGCACCCTCACCTGATGCAGGAACACATGGGCACCAACGTCATTGTTGCCAACACGATGCCCGCTCACCTCAGCAATGGACAGATGTGTGAGTGGCCCCGACCCAGGGGGCAGGCAGGTGGGCACCTTGGGCTCTACCTGGCAAGGGGTGAGGATGAGGGCCTAAGAGAGGAGGTAGGAGCAGGTTGAGTCTAGAAGGCAGACCCAGGATACAACAGTTCTCTGCGCTCCAAGGTAGCGAGTGAGGGGTGAGGCTGTCCATTCAGTGAGGTGACTGACAGCCTCTGCTGAATAAAGCTGTCCTTGGGGTGAGACAGTCCATTGGATGAGTTTTCCCACTGGGTGAAGATGGACACTGGGTGAAAATTCCATTAGGTGACATTGTCCAGTAGAAAAGTCTTCACTGAAGTAAGGCTGCCCAACTGGGTAAGGCTATTCATTAGACCATTAGGTGAGACTGTCCACTGGGTCGGGATGTCACTGGGCCAGACCATCCTCTGAAGTAAAATCTCCAAAGTGTGAGTGTCATCGGGCAAAGTTCTTCAAAGAATAAGATTATCTATAGGATGAGGTGGTCCCCTGAGATGAGATGGCATTTCATTGAGATCATTCTTTGGGGAAATTGTCCATTTTTTAAATTCTATTTTAGAATGTCTAAATGTTTAAGAGGGAAGTTGTCCATTGAATGAAGTTGGCCAATTGGGTCAAAGTTACTCTTCGAACCTGTGGTGAGGGTGGGGCCAATTAGTTTCTATTACTCATCTCCTAAAGAAATGGGTATTTTTTTGAGCCATTTAGCCTGGGTCTCATCAACTACTACTCTTACCAAGAAAGAGTCACCTATCCCATTGCCCTTGGCTCAGTCAGACCTAGGCCCTGCTTTGGGAGAAACAGCCCAAGATTCCATATCAAATGGTGGAGGAGATGGGTGGTAGGATCTTCTAGACCTCTTTTGAGCCATAAGAGACCTTAGGGATTATCTGGTTTAATGCTCCCCTTTTATAGCAGAGGAAACTAAGTCTGGGGGTGGGTTCGGAAGGGAAGAGCTTTCCAAGGGCTCTTCATTTACCTCCCCCAGGGGCTGAATTCTGAGCAGCGCCTCTCTGTCTTTGTCCTTCCAGCCACCCCTGAGACTCCACAACCCTCACCGCCGGGTGGCTCGGGGTCGGAGCCCTACAAGCTCCTTCCAGGAGCCATCGCCACAATCGTCAAGCCCCCATCTGCCATCCCCCAGCCGACCATCACCAAGCAGGAAGTCATCTAGCAAGCCGCTGGGGGTCGGGGGCTCTGCTGGCTCCCCCCAGCCCCCTCAGAGCCTGCCTGGTGATCACTTGGTCTCAGCAATGGAAGGCGTGACACCAGGGCCAGCCCCAGAGTGGTAATGGAAAGGGGGAAGGGCCCGAGCACATGGCTGATGGCCACAGCCCATTGCCACCCGTGACGCCCTGCTCTGGGAGACACGGCTTTGACTTGGGGAGACCCCAGCTGGAAAGTCCTCTGCTGCCCTGGACAACTTTTCTCATGTCGAAGCCACTGCCTTCACCTTCATCCATATCTACCCCCAACTTCACCCCGGAAGGACGGCTGTCTGGAGATGATGCGGGGTCCTGCTTAAACCCAGCTCCCTTTGCCTCAGACTGGTGCTGCTTCCCTCCCAGTACCTGTCGTGGTGTCAGAGCACCTCACTCCTCCCTCTCCTGCTGCCCCCACCTCCAACACCCCTCTCCCTCCACCCACCTCCTTGGCCATCCTGTCTTCTCCAAAGCCACCTCGCTAGAGGCTGGGGGAGACTTAGAAACGATCCCTCAGTCATTCCTGGAACATCTCGTAATCCTGGACTGGGGCTAGGCAGAGAGCAGAAGACTCCATTCCTCCCCCTCCAACCCTACCGCACTTCCCTTCTTCAGGGACCTGGGTGGGTCTTCGGAGTGACGATGGTTTTAGGCTTTCAACAGGAGAGAGCAAGCCAAGGTTGACAACTGCAACAGGAACTTGGAGGGAGGGCTGGAGCGGTCAGAGACAGCATCTGGGAAGAGGCAGACCATGCACCAGGCCTTTGAGGAAGAGTGGGATTCTGGCTGGTAGAGCGGGTGAGATAGGACATTCCGAAGAACAGCCTGGACAAAAGCCTGGAGGTAGGAAGAATGGCATGGGAGAGAGGCGACACAGAGACAGGGTCTGCTGGGCTGGAATGCCAGACTCAGGCCCTGAGCAGCTGGGGGACATGCGCAGTGAGCCAGCTTTCACAGATGAATACAGCAGTTCTACCAAGGTGGGGTGGCAGGGAGGGAGCAGGGAGGTCAAATGGGGTTGACAATGTAACACGGGTGAGAGTGACATGGCTTGCGGATGGATGAACCCTCAGACCAGAGTGACATCAGGGAAGAATTGTCCCCAGGGCCTGTCCCAAGCTCTTCCTAACTCCCAGGCACTGTCTTAAGGCATTTGCCATGCATCATCTCATGTAATCCTCCACAGTACCTGGAGATTGTTACAGACGGTGAAGTTGGGTTCTAAGAGGTGACGAGATTTTTCTGGAAACTCATGCAGCTGGTAAGTGGCCAAGTCAGGACTTGAACCCAGGTCTCCCGAGACTAGGAGCTCTTAACCACAGTGGCTGAACATCTTCTCCAAAAGGGCCCCTCTGTCCTCACTGTGATCGAGTTGAGGGACTTCCTGGCCCTTTCACCAGCCTCAGAAACCAATGGCTCCTTCTTCCCAGGAGCCCGGCCAACTCCTGGGACTAAGACTGGCCTGAGGTGGCACCAAAATCCACTTAGGGTCCAGAATCCTGTTTGTTGGTAAATATTAAGGAGAATTTCTGACTCTTGACCCCTTTTCTCTGTTCATTCCCCAAGTCTGGGGGAGGGGCAGCAGGGGCTGGTTCCTGGGAGACAGAGCTATCTGGTGGGCAGCCTGGGAGGTGGGGGAACAGTTTGAGTAGGGACAGGGAGGGCTAAGAAGACCTGGGTGTGAGGCCTGCTCTGGGGATCGACACTCAGGTGCATTCTGGACACATTAAACCCCAGGACAGAGCAGCCAGCGCTTCACCCATGCAGAATCTTGGAGGCTTTGGGGACAGTCTGGAAATTGCCACTGGCCAGTGGGAACAAAAGGGATGTGTCCTGGGGCTGGAGGTGTGATTGGGTAGGAGAGTGAACCGTTAGACTGACCACCTACCCTCCACCCAAGGCTGACCCTTCTGAGTGGAGGGGTCAGTACCCCAGGACCCAGAAGTCCCACCATTGGTGAGTATTCCTTTCTGTGGAAGAGACACAGGGAAACATTGAGACAGTGTGTCAGGGAGAAATCTGCACGTCCTCCGCACTGTCAGGAGTGGCCTTCCCCTGTCCATCAAGCCAGGTCCCCAATCCCAGGGGACACTGCTTCCTGCACAGAGCTCCCAAGCCTCCCTCGGCCACCTCACTCCAGTGCCGCAGAAGCCCCATAGGGCAGGGAAGCCGTAATCATTCTGGACATTGTGGTCATTCCCACTCTGTTCCTCCACCAGGTGGCTCAGGCCTCTGTTGTGGGAGCAAAGTTGAGATAAGAACACCCCATGGAGTGGAGTGGGTAATGGTGGCCTTTAATGGTAGCAACCTTTTGTAGCAGGGGGTTGGTCCTTTGCCCCAGAGCCACCCTTTCTGGAGGAGAAATCCATTCCACTTTAATAACTATTGCAATTCAGGAAACATGAAACAAAGAAAAGTTTACTTTTCTGATTCTAAGCTTGAGGACACAACATTGGAAAATCATCTTTTTTTTTTTCCTATCTGAGTTGTGGTCCTAAAACATAAAATCTGTTGGACGAAAAATGGTTGTTAGGGGGCAAGTGTGGGCACTATAATTCCTCCACCAACACACCCTCTTCTTCGGGGAGCTCTCAGGAACTTCTAGAATCCACATGGCTCTGCTGAGAGTGGGTGGAGGAGAAGAAAGAGTTGGAAATGGATGCTCTTGTGTTTCTTGCGATGACCAAGCCAATGGCATCTGCCAAATGTTCCTGTGATCTGCCCCGATTCAGAGGAATTGTGAAATTCACATCAAGCGATTCAGGAAGTGGGCTGGGTCCCATCAGACCCACCCACATCTTCCCGTGGGTGTGAGTGTCGTTAGGTCCTGTGCTGACCCCTGAGCACCCGTCACTGCCACCTGATGGGGCGAAGAAGCAAAAAACATTTCTTACTCTTATGTGTTTTAACAAAAGTTTATAAAACAAAATAAATGGCGCATATGTTTTCTAAGTCCTTGGATGGGCGTCTTTTCTTTCTTTCAGGTGTTAGAAGTAAGAATGAGGGTAATCTCATAGTTCTATATAGTGTACAAAATGCTTTCATATCCATGATTATTTTCTTCATCTTCCCATCAAGAGGTCAGCGGGTTAGACATTATGATTACCTCCCACTTTATAGATGGGGAGACTGAGGCTAAGGGGAAGTGATTTTCTTTGAGAAGCAGAGGCGGACATCCAACCCTGGTGTCTTGACTCCAGGTACTCAGTATGTGGGGAGAGTGCAAGTTGAGCCTCCCTCCTGAAGAGGGGAGGAAAGAGGGAGAAGGTGATAGAAAAGTCTGGAAAAATGGCAAGAGGATCCAACAGTCTGTCGTCTACCATCAGGGTCGACAATGGAACCCTTTTCTGGGTCACCTCAACCTACCAGCAATAGCAGATGAGTAGCCATGGGGACGTTTCATAAAAACAAGTGTTGTTTTTTTAAAAAAGAAGAAAAACAAGGGAGGCATTTGAGGCTGTCCAGGCAGGTCTGGAGCTGCTTTGGTCCTCTCCCTTGCTAGACTAGGTAGGGGGCCTTGTGTGGGGCCACCACTGCCTCATATTCACTTGGGGATGTGCTTATAGCCAGCTTGTGAGAGTCGATTGTTAGCTTCTCTTCCCAACTCCACGTTTACTAGCTTGAAATGGGCCACGGTGGGAGCATTGACACCATGAGGACCAGCCAATGACACAAATCGGGGCTTTCTCTCCTGGAGAACCGGCTGTTAAACACTCACCAGCACACCCCAGCAGTCAGTGACGGCTGCATGATGGCCTGCCTGGGTCTGTTGGCACTCAGCGATGAGGGTAGAGCAGGGTGACCCTTTCAGCTCCTCCCAAAGAGGAGAGGACAACAGTTCTGGTCTGGGAATCACACATCTTGGAGATCAGTGCAACCTTGAGCAGGTCACTCCACCTCTCTGAGCCTCATCTATAAAATGGGAATGATAGCTCCCTCAAGGGACACTGCCAGAATTAAGCAGAATGACATAACAGTAACTGTAAGAGCTACCGTTATGTGAGGCAGACAAGTGAACTCTCCATGCAGCCTCTCTCTAGTGAGAGGCGAACCACTAAGTTCTCCAGCCTCGAGAGCACCCATTAGCTTCCTGCCTGGTCCCTGGGGCCCCTCCTGTCCTCCGGTCCCATCCCCCCGGTCCCATCCCTCCACTCATCAGCACCAGGAAATGTTTCCGATAACATCGCAATGGAGGCCTTGTCCATGCCGCTGCCTGCATGGACACAGGGGAGTGGGGGCCAGGCGAGGCTATTTCAGTCCTAAATTGTGCTTGATAAATCCATATCAAAACCATAAAACCTGGGCTGCCATAAATTCCTCCGGCCCCGGCTCCTCCACCTCATCAGCCCTTTGCCCCAGTTAATCTCAAACCTCAGCATAGGCGGCCAGAGTGTCGGGTTCAGTTTCCATTTCAGTTGCTAAACAAGATCAGCTCGGGTGACAAGCAGCAAAATCCCCATTTTAGAGATAGTGAACCTGAGGTTCAGAAGGTGAAGGAACTTGTCTAAGGCCACACAGCTAAGGAGCCGTTGAGCTGTCGAGCCCACGCGACTTCTACCAACCCATGTGGCCTGATCAAGAATTGGGACTTCTGAGAAGTCTCCTCTTTTTACCTCCTCCACAAAAGTTGTTTGCCCGAGCCATGCTACTAGAAGCTTCTCATCCCGTCACCCCAAATGGAACCCCACAGCTCAGAGTGGGGACCAGAAGTAGAAGGGACGTGGGCAATAAGCAGCTTGAAGGTCCAAAGAAAGCGCTGTGCCGTGACTGCCCCGCCATGCCACGTGGGTGCGGCTGCCCTACCCCTTGTTCCTAGGACCCAGATCGCCTTTGATCCACACATCTCGAGTCGGTGTGTCATATGTAAATTCCAAGACATGATCTAAGAGACCTGGATCACAAGATCCCATGGGGCTGTTTGATGGTGGCGGAGCTAGAAACCAAGTCGTGACGCCAGCGATGACGCATATTGAGCTCTTTCTCTTTGCCAAACGTTGCTGGACATAACTGAATCCCCACAACAACCCTCTGAGGCAGTTATTCTTGCTGTTCTGCTTTATACATGAAGAAACAGGCTTAGAAGGAAGACGGGCCTTGCCCAAGGCCCACAGCTGGCATGACAGCTGATCCAGTGCCTATTGTCTGATTCCAGGGGCCACCGCAAGGGGATTGAGGAGGACACTGATGACTCTGTCACTGCATGGTGGGCACAGGAGTCGCGTGAATGGGGGAAAGTTTATCACGTGACAGATGTGAACGGGCAAAGCCCCATGCTGCAGCATCCCGGGACTGTGAAGAAGCAATCCCACAAGACGCTCCCTCCTGGAGCTTTCGGTTTCGCCTGGGGAGGGAAAATAAGGCGCCCTTGGCTACCGTGAGCCACAGGAGCGAGAGTGGCAGCTGGTGGGATGGCGGCGAGGGAGAGATGACCGTGCCCTGGGAAAGGCAGTGCCGTGCACTTTGGAGGAGGAGGACTCAGAGGTGACGATGACACAGAGCCAAGGCCGAGCGCACGCCGGGCGGAGGAGCAAGCCAGCAGCGAGTCGGAGGAGGCAGTGAGAAGCCTGGGAGGGAGGGAGGATGAAGGCCCGCACTTCCCACCCTTGGGCATTGCACACGCCACCTTGACCTCTCTGTGCCCGACGACCACTGTGACTTCCACGACTTAACATTTTTCTTTAAATCAGCTCATCATCATCCTATTTATTTATGTTTTTATTTGTATGTTTTTAGAGACAGGGTCTCACTCTGTCGCCCAGGCTGGAGTACGGTGGCACAATCGAAGCTCACTGTAGCCTCGAACTCCTGGGCTCAAGCCATCCTCCAGCCTTGGCCTCCCAAAGTGCTAGGATTACAGGCATGACCCTGGCCCATCATTCTCTTTAAACTTTAGGTCACCGACATAACTAGGAAACCAGCATCATTTGCGGTAAATAGAAGGTGATTGCAAAATTAAAGTGAAAAGAAAACAATGTTCTTAAGCTGCAGCCTGATGGAATTGCCTCAGGGAAAGTTCTGCTCTTTCTTTCTTTATGAAAAATGAAAACTGACAGGTGTTACAGAGATGTTAAAGGTATACACTTACCCAATGGAGACTTTCTCCTTAAAGTTTTCAGAGGAAGACCTGTAAAGAGATAGACTTTGGGGACAATGTCACTTAATGCCATTCCTGTGTATCCCTGAAACCTCCTGGCATTCCACTGGAGGCCGTCATCCCACTCCTGGAAGCTTGCTCACCACTGCGGTTGGTCTGCACACAGGTGGTGGGGCCTCAAATACTGGACAGAAGAGTCTGGAGTTTCTTCTGAGGACATTTGAAGCCACCGGAGGTTTGACAGCAGGGAAGCTGTCAGGATCACTCTGGCTGCTTTGGGATAGACAGAATTTTAGAAGGAGTGTGACGAATGAAGACACACTTGTGCTGTGTCAGGTGAGAGTAGTGTCCACACCAAGACGGGGGTGGTAGAGTAGAACAGAGAACCAATCCAAAAGACATTCATTCACTCATTCATTCATTCCTTCAACAAATATTTAGTGATTGCCTATGATGTATGGAGCACTTTTCTGAGTCTGAGAGGTGGGTGGGCAAGACCGGATAGGGCCTTCTAGGTCATGAGAAAGAGCTTGTATTTTATTATAGGTGCCATGAGAAGTTCTTAGAAGTATTATCTTCATGTTCTCAAAAGGCCACTCTACTGTGTAGACAATGGAGTATGTGGAACAAGAGTGGATGCAGAGAAGCCGATAGGTGGCCTGTGCAGTCCAAGTGTGAGACAATGGCAGCATGGATGAGGGTCATGTACCAGACAGAATTCTAAGATGGCGCCTGAGATGCCCGCCCTGGGCGCATACACACCTTCTCCCAATTATTCAATGAGACGCTAAGCTAGGTGGAGCTGTGAAGGGGTTTGGCAGATGTACTTAAGGTCCCAAAGCAACTGATGTTATGGGGAAATTTTCCTTGGTGGGCCTGCCCTAATCAAGTGAGCCCTTCAAAGTGACTGGGCTCTTTCTGCCAAATGAAATGAGAAGCACGAGAGGGATCCATGTGAGGGAGATTCTCTGCTGCTGGATTGGAAGATGGAGGGGGCCTCGTGGCAAGGAGTGCGGGCAGCCTCCAGGAGCTGAGAGAGATCCCTGGCTGACAGCCAGCCAGAAAATGGTGACCTCCATCCTACAACCATGAGGAACTGAATTCGGCCAACAACAGGCAAGAGCTTGGATCCTTCCCTAGGGGCTTCAGGTAGGAAAACAGCCCAGCTGACCCCTTGATTTCAGCCGCATAAAACCCTGGGCAGAGAGAACCCAGTCACCCCACATCTGGACCTCAGACCTACCAAACTGTGAGATAACAAATGCATGTTGTTTCAAGCAACTACATGAGTGGTCATTTGTTATGCAGCAGCAGAAAATGAATACAGACTGGGTGTGGTGGTGCACACCTGTAGTCCCGTCTACTTGGGAGGCTGAGTTAGGAGGATCGCTTGAGCCCAGGAGTTTGAGGCTGCAGTGAGCTATGATTGCACCACTGCACTCCAGCCTGGGTGACAGACCAAGGCCCTGTCTCTTAAAAAAAAAAAAAAAAGGAGGGAGTGTAGGTAGCACACAGATTACAGCTTAGGTGAGGACTTCACTCTGGGTCACAGCACCATGGAGGTTGGAAAGAGGAAGAGGGGCCAGCAAAGAACGAGTAAGATGAATGTTTATGGTGAACGAAAGGATTTGGGGGACTTTGCTACAGACCCACTATGTGCTAAGTGTGCTGACATACTCACCGTCTTACCTGGTCACCGTGGTGAGGTTGTGGAGCAGGTAAAATGAACTATCCTCATTATACAGATGGGGGGAAGTGAATTTCCCTGGGTCCATATGCAGCATAATAGTGGCAAAGTGAGACTCTCCATGCTGATGTGGCCTGAACATTGTTTCCTGTTTGTCGCATAAGTGAATAA